CAGTATATAATTGAACACTTTAGCATGCAGAGGAACGTGTATGTCAAGAAACGGTTGGAATCATGGGGCTCTTGTACCTGTTCGCGTTGTTTTCTTTGGTTTCAGGTCAGTATTTTTACGTGCTGTTACTGAACTATCCGCCTCTTGAAATGTAACTTCCAAACACTCATCTGACATGGGTTCATCAGTTCTCCCGAATTTTTACTATTGTTAATATTCTCAACCTACAGGGTATTAGGGGTACTGGAATTTGTGGGCGGGTTGGAATTTTGATTGCGTATGAATGAATGATTCATGAAACACGGAACTATTCAGATTTGGAAGCATTTTTAAAATAAAATATATTTCCCAGTTGGCGTTACTTGAAACTTGAACCCAACTAAGCATTATGTTTGTCTTGATGGTGTCCGCCGCAAATAGTTGCCAAACTGCTGATGAGCCATTACGCAATAACCACTCACTCACTCACTTGATGGTGTCTCCACAACATCCGGCGCAATTACGAAGTGTGAATCCTGTTTGCAAATCTGTTCAACTAATATATCTATTCATTCTGTAAGAGGTTATCGTTTAATGAAGGCCTATGTTTCAGTAATAAACGAAGACAAATGATCCTGACAGGACGGACTGTTTTAAATAATTTTGTGAAGAGCCCATTGAACTTTAGCTTCATCATTAGATATACCAGTACATCAGTACATACGTGTTTAGTGATCTCATTGAATTCCAGGTAATGATGGGACGTTGAGTGACCGCTCTCTCACAGCAAGTCAACTGCACTGATCCACAGTCTATGCTCGTAGCCTCACAGAAGTGTCTTGATGCGTACAATCTCCCCTTCAAAATGCCTTCCTTAGACGAACTTGCGAACTCGTCAGATCATTCGTATTTATCACATCTAATAACCCCAGCATTTTTAGCTGATATGTGTAGGTTAGTATGGACCTCACCTACATCACTTCTTATAATCATCACAACAATATATTCTTATCCTACCATTGACCGTTACGGTGGCAAGAGTTTGATAGCGATAAAGAAGATAAAACGATTAATGTAATATTTGAAATACTACTAATGGTAACGATGACTTGAGTGCAGTGAGGGCTTCGGAATCGATGACATTCCACTTCTATCTGTATCACAAGGCTGACTTCTTACTGACTGATCCATGCATATCACCGCACCTCAAACTGTGTAGTTACCTTCTCATGATATCAGTCAGTGAACAGTAGGTCCCAGACTCAATCATATTAAGACCCCTTGATACAGCTGGACTTGTTCCAAATCTCACCAAAATGTAATCTCAGTTCTCTCTGGCGCTTTGCAACAAACTGAGGACATTCCGAATGTTCTATTTCTTACGTTTTAGAATTTCGAATCGATATTTCGCATGGAAATCAGTTTGGAACTAATGCGGTTTTACTCCAAAAGGTGTTTTTGATTGGCTAATGTCGACTTCTAGTTAGTCTAGTTTTGTCAATCACTGTTGACGAAAGGTCGCTCTGACCCTAAATGTGATGACCTGAGATCATTGTTGAGCGGTAGAAAGAAGTGAGATGTCATATTAAATTTGTAATATTGCTTTGTGTTAAAAAGTAGTATTGGGAAGTTATCCTCTTTGACCAACTGCATGGTTGTGTTGGGGCTATGTTTCTGGAATCTTTGCACAAAGTCTCTTATCATATAGAGTATTTCATAGCGGTGTGGCAAAACAGTAAATATATGATACTCGTGCATAGTGTTCATATGATCAATGGTACAGCATTGTCATTTAAAAAACCTTGTTTCAGGAATCTTGACACTTACCAAAAAGCGCAAGTGTGTGTGCAAAACATACTCTCTAAATGTACCCAGGCCCAGGTGTTTGATTCAGAGATGATTAAGAAGATACAAGAATATGCCTGTGCCAACTTGGACAGTGAGTACAGAGTATATATTTATGTACCACTTCAAGAGATTTCATTCAAATAATTTTTTGCGCATGCTTAATCGGGCCCCGCCACCAAAAATATTCAGTTTCATTTCCAACTGGAACAGAATATAAATATTTACACGAGGGAACATCACAGGTGTCACAAAGCATCAGGGAAGTAAGACAATCAAGTAGGCAAGTCTCATAGACCATGTACCAGATGGAGTATGTAAAAATACTGTAAATCAAACTCCTTAGTGAATTATTTATGAAAAATATGGATTACGTTTTTCGTAATTTGAACATTCAAAATTAGGATACGCTTCAATGCCCTTTCCATAATCTTACTAAATCTAGAATGAAATGTATGCTTTAGCACTTGTTTCAAGACTGGATATTCTTTTGCACTGACGTTTTCTATTTATGGATCATTGCTAGCATGACGACCACAGTGACCAGCGAAACCTGATTGTATCATGTACCACCGGTGGAACAAACAAATGCAAGGGCATTTTAACAGCTTGTTCTCACGTAAAGACACAGGCCCATATCTTACGAGTCAAATAGCGGATATACACCAAAGCATGACTATTGCTTGACATGAAGAAAAGTTTATTGTAAATCTTCTAGAGAAGAGGTTTCAAGATATAACTTCAAAATTAAATACATTTGGCTTCTGCTTGAGATGCTCAAATAAATGGTACTTTTGTCATTTTCACTTTAGTCACCGACAGAATAAATATCTGGCACTGCCATTATAAGCCTTGGCGGTCATGCTTTGCGTTTTAAGCAAATGTTGTAAATGGTTGGTGCTAACGGTAGGGCAGGACACTTTTACTCTTTTCGCGAACACCTGGTGTCATCACTGATTTTCAATCATCCATACATTCAGTTTTCACAGCTATTGTTCCCTTTACACCCAACGTCTTTGTTCCAGAAGAATTCAACATAACCTGCATGTTTGAAATGACGACCAAAATAGTGAATTGCAGCTCTACCGTCAGCTACATGACAACCAGCGATTATATTAACCACAACTTTAAAGAGTTTGAACACAAAACAAATTGTATGTGAGTATTCGTGTTATAAAATCACCTTCCTTTCAATTATACACCTCGTGTGCGTGCGTATATGTATATCATGACGACCGAAGTCTTTATGGAAATTCACAAAAAGAGTTCGATGTTGAAAAGCATTACTGCAATTCACATTGCCATAGACCTGACTAAATGATTGTTTGGTTGTTTGCATCCGTTCCCCCTTAGCAGTGTTGTATGTTGTTTAGAATGGCATATCCACGAACCAGTTCTAAAGATATTAACCTTTCCCAAATATTCCTGGCATAAGGAATACGACCATCGTATTCAGTAATGTCAAAATTTGTTATGACTTTTGCTTTTTTTCGGCCATTATCTACATGTAACCGAGTTAAAATACCTGAACATCAAATTGTAATCTTAATGCGAATAAAAGGTTGATTTCATACTTTATATTGCCTCTATTTGTGTGTATTTTGTCAGGTCAGAAAAGTTGTCACCAGGCTGTGCCCACAAGTACATGCCAGCCTGTAGCGAGGCCACGCGCCATATCTACGAAATGGCCAATCCAAACAACACAGAATGTACGTCATTTTCTATTAGCTTGTCGCAAACATATTCGTACACATCTGATTTATAACAGCCATACAAAGGGCATGTATTGGTGTTTCAAGGGCATTTCCCCACTCTACTTTACGTCTGTTTATATTGTAAAATTTGTATGCAGGTGAATGCAGTAACAGGTACACAATGTCATTATCTTCAGCCACAACCTGATGCCACAGTGCATGTCACACTCAGAGGTGTTCTATTGACAGAACATTATATATGCACACATTTCTTAAAACCTAAAATCAATGTCTCTAAAGTGATGTTTGGTTCTAAAACATGTTATTTAGGGATTGGATTTAGCTATATTTCGTTATCGTTTTATACTAAACAATAATTTACAAATACCCGTTAATACTTGGGTTAGAACTGATTTTCAGTAACCCATACCTGTCACAATAAGCGATAATGAATGTAAATCAATTCATAAGCATGCACCATTGTATTCCCAACTTCATTTTCCTACGACTTTAACATTCATGTGTTGACTTTCATTAGGCCTAACACCCAACAGCCTAGACACACCCACCGTGGACTGTTTCACCGCTGACGACATCCGAAGTAGCTACCATCAATGCTTAATCTACAACGGGATACTGTTCCAATTTCCAGAAAACCTAACCAGTGAAGAGACTAGCCAGCACATTATGCACGTTATTACAATGGATGGCAACATGTGCAGGTATATACACTTTTAGTAATCCCTTACTGTCTCCTGGTGGTCCTGTAGTGACAAGTGACTGTGTTCCATATAAATAGAGAACGTCAGGTATTAAAAGAACTAGAAATTGCAAATGTGCAATAAATATAATGGAAGTCACAAGAAGTCTCGATGTTTTGTGACAATACATGGTATTGCAAGGTTCTCTCTCAGGTGTCTTTAGACAGTTTCATAAGTATCCGTTACACCATCATGATATTGCTTCAGTCACCACAGTCACTGTAACATGAATGTGAGGCATTGTTAGCCAGCTGGTAAATGGAGCTAATTTCCAAATGTGTACAGAAATGTAGTGAAACAAAGATAATAAAGTCTCCAAAACATGTTATTAATTTTACCCAAAGAGACAAATATATATAATATTTTGTATCTTTTATCAACCAGTAACATGCTTTCATTGTCAATACCGGTATTCAATATTTCTCTGTGTGTATAACTGATGCAAGCATTCCAACAATTACAAAGGCTGTGTCACAGAATAAGCAAGTGAACGACCATGTTATGACACAACCAGCAATGAGTATTCTTACACTAGCTTCATGTGACTGATATCCAATGATTTTCGAAAAGTGCTCATAGAATGAAACATTAATTACAATGAACATTATTTTAAAAGAGCTCCTCTCAAAATGAGGGAAAGCATGACTTTATAGTGATTACTATATACGTAGAATATATATTTATCACAATATAAACACGTTGTAGCACAGATGTAACGTTTTATGTCGTACAGTAATCTGAAGGACTACCAGCAGGCAGTGAACTGTACTCTGCAGGTACAGAAGCAATGCAGTGATGACGCGATGAAGCCCACAGTAGCCGACTCTCAGACAGTGCAGGACGGCTTGACTAAACTCTGTGGTCATATCGGGGGTGAGTAGCTTAGCATGAGTTCGTTGTCCATACGTGTATGTCTTTATTAAAGGAGTATTGAGAGGCTGGCGAGATATGAGATATGTATATGGGGTGCATGTCGTTGGTAGTTTAAACGACCAGATTTAGACCTAAAAAGGAAAACTACTAACGTCTTTATTATGTATTCGAAGTACTTTTATGCTTCTGCTTTTAGACTGATACAATTAATCATTCTTATTATATTCTGTTATTAGATTTCGACACCAAGTGCGTTCAAAATGCTCCCAAAGGAACTTGTGGCAGTAGACGCCCCGCTTTGGATCCGAAACATCTGTGCGCGTAAGTAAATTCTTTTTTTTGTGTTCCAAGACGGTTGAGGTATTTGCAGCTGTTGCTTTTTTGTCAAATAGAAGGTGTATTGAGGTTGATAACAGGTAAATGAGTTACTAAGATACACACGAGAATCTGCATAGAATGTACTAGACACCACCTTTTTCACAACCAAGTAAAGAGGGGACTTGATGTTCCGAAAGGATATCACAGGATGATAGAAGGAAACTTGATCATGCTCAAGAAATTATCCCACTGTGGCACACCTCACAAATGCGTGCAAAGGCATGTCAAATGTCCGCCTGTTGTTTTAGAAATATCCCCAACATATCTCATTTTTGAAAGCTTTACTGAGGCCGCGAATATTCTAACCACGTGGAAACAATATATGAGGCTTTGAGATAGACCGTTCCTGTGAAACGTGTTCTGGCCTTGGCGCAAGATGTGCGTCTTCTTCTCCGAACATCTGGTGTCATCTCTGATTCTATATAATCATTTCAAATCAGTTTTACTTTTGCCTCATACTCTGTGGAATATGTCAGTACTCAAGACAGACTGGTTATTGTCTGACGTTTTAGATTCCCCAAGCATTTAATAATTTCAAGAGTTTTCATGAAAATACTTTATTTTATTATTGTCACTCATGTGTAGTTCTATAAGTGTGTATGCTTGTTTTCAGCACCACTAGCGCCACCCAGAACTGTCTGGTGTCAGCGGTGAGCAGCTGCAGCAAGAGGACCGTCAGCATGTTCAAGGACGTCCTACTTAGCCAATCCCCGTCTTGTGTCTAAAACAGGCCACTGGGTCACCATTGATTGGCTAATCTACATCTTCACACAATCGCGATTGTATTGGTGTTGAGTGACAATAAAAACATTCAAGTAAGCACATGAAATGTATGTCAGGTTTTTATTTCATTATTTCCTGATGTGTATAGATATTTTGAAAAAATGTTTATCTGACAGTGTTTATTGAAAGAGATGGAAGCGAGAAAAACTTTTCCACATTGATAAGAAATATCTGCCAAAAGCAGAGTCGACTGTACAATACAACTGTATGATGCTGTTTGTAAATAAATCGGGTCTGAACCAGACAATCCAGTGATTGTCACCATGCGATACGATGACAGAACATGTGCTTATGAATCACTATGAAATAGTGATGATACCAGGTGTTCACGAAAGGGTGAGAGTATCCTGCCCCACCAGTGGCACCCAACATAAACACATGCTAGCCAATTGTTTACCTGAAATAATTCGGGGACGTATGGTCACAATTAGGAATTGCATCGAACATAATTTTTGTCACTGATGCATGAAGTATAATATTTTCCAACAGAAGTGAGACTACTGGTGCGGCTCTTTCGATCCCACTTTACGCCAAGTTTCAGTTACTGTAATACATTACACACCAAATTTAGAACATTTGTTTCAAATGATACAAATGATGGAACATCACAACGTTTTGATCCGGACATCATTCACCTGTAAAAGTGGAATACCTTAAATTGAGTGATTTGATTAAATACTTATTCAAATCAGCCCTGAAGAATTTTAATATTCTGATGTGAAACCAGAAGGGCCAGGGCTTTTATTGTTTTTGATTCTTTTCAAAGCATTTAACACTTCATCGTACGTCAATTCACCCTCCAGTAGATCCTTTTGTTTTCTTTCAGTTTTGATATATCTTGATTTTCAAACAATATATCTAAATCTATGTTATCTGGTTCTTGTTTAGAGTACAGCCTTTCATAAAAATATTTTGTTTCCTTCAGCAAATCATCGGTTTTTGTAAGAGTTTCACCTTTAGCATTCTAACTTTAGTATAGCCTTATTCAGGAAGTTATGTTTCACTAGTGATAAGAAATATTTTGTTGGTTTCTCTCCCTTTTCGTTCCAGCTTTTGATTGAAGTATTATACCTTCAGTTTTCACCGATTGAATCTCGTGATGTTTTTCATTTTCTATATTTAACTTAGATTGAATGTCTTGCTTTTGTAATAATTCTTTAGCTGAGTCTAGCCCAATCTTGAGACTTTCTATTGTGTTTGTTATTTCTTTCTCAATCTTTTCTCTTTCTCCTTTTTTCTTGGAAGAGTATTTCATTGTTTGTCCTCTTATCATGAGTAATAGCGTTTCAAAGAGGAGTTGGTCGTCTATACTGTATGTTGGATTGCCGTCATCATAAATTCCATTTTGATATTGATTACTAGTATCTTTTATTGTTTCTTTTACCTTTTCAACATATGTTTTATCTCTAAATAATGAGTTGTTAAGTTTCCAGTAACCTCCACCTTTTTCTACTTCACACAAATCAAGAATTAGCCATATTGATGAATGATCAGATTTAAAAGTAGGATCAATACCAGTTTTCACAATTGATTTTTCTATGGGTTTTTTTAGAATAAGAAGAAATCTAATCTTGCCTATTTAACAGGATTGGGTTGTCTCCAAGTGTATCTATTTGACATTTCATTGGTTAATCTCCACGGATCTACCTAGACTTGCCACCACATTACAAAATAACAAGGCCATCAATAACATCAAAAATGAAGACGATGCTAGTGCGATATATTCGGTGAGAGCTGCCTTTTCCAGTGGCTATTAGCAAGAATAGGCCTTGGAGATATCCTACAGACGACGGACTTAACTGGGATGGCTTATTTAAACCCACGCCCATCTCCCACTGGAAAGATTTGAAAACTAAACAATTTGGCTGTTAACGTCTTCGGACACAAAGGTAATCGAAGGATTGTACAGAGACGCTCCGAAAGGCGTACGTAGGATCAATTGAGAGTGCATAGAGAGGACTGCCAAGGCGTGGGGCAGATTGCGATCAGGATTGACATGCCCAAAGAAAACGACAACATTCTCGAAATTGTCAACCACAACAAACAAATGCCCATGCCCTGCGTCATCTACGCCGACTTAGAAGCCCTCATAAAAAATATCGAACATGACACACCTACCACGACCGAACAATGTTTCACTTACAAAACGCAAGAACACAGAACTTGCTGGTTCCGTTGTGTGGTTTTCCGATACAATGAGAAAACAAAGGCTCCCGTGACTTACAGAGGCCACGATGCGGCTGAAAAGTTTCTCACCTGTTTACAAAACGAGGAGAAAACGTCCGGGAAATTTTATTGAAGTTGCCTATGGGTATGACGAAGGATGACTGGAGAGCTCATAAGAAGGCTAAGAGTTGCTTCGTGTGCGACAAGACCCTGAACTGTGATTCCGTGAGAGATCATTGGTCACATCACGGGTAAATACAGGGGAGCTGATCACAGCGCATGTATCTTGAAGCTAAGAATAAACCCAAAAACAATACAAATCCCTGTGGTGTTTCATAACCTCCGCAGGTACGATTTGCACTTAATCATGCAGGCCATCTCAAAGATCGACGGCGACTTGACGTGCATTCCCAACAACATGGAAAACTACATCTCGTTCTCGCTGGGCGGACTGAGATTCATAGACAGTGTTCAATTTCTGATCTCATCGCTGGATAGTTTGGTGAACGCAAACAACCCGGATGCCTTCACCATAACAAATCGACTCGATGTATCGACTCGACATCTGTTGCTGAGGAGGAGTGTGTACCCGTACGAATACATGGACGAGTGATCGAGATTCGTGGAAAAGAAATTGCCTCCCATTTAATCATTTTATAGTAACTTAACATAATAAAAACTAACGATCATGATTACCTACATGCCCTCGAGGTGTGGGATAAATTGGATTGTAAAAATTTAGGTGACTGGAAATAGTAAACTGGCCGACGTCGAAAAACTCGTACCGAACTTGATGGTTAAAACCAAATACATCATTCACTATCGTAACCTGCAGCTGTACTTATCGTTGGGCATGAAGCTGATGAAAATACACAGAGTTCTTAAGTTCGATCAAAGTCCTTGGATGGAGCCTTGCATATAAGACTGAACACGGATTTAAGAAAACAGGCCACCAGTGATTTCGAAAAGAATCTATTTAAGCTCATGAACAAATCGGTATTCGGGAAAATGATGGAGAACCTAATGAAGCATGTGAACGTGAAGTTAGCCAGATCTCACGAGGAAGAAAGACTGATATTGTATTGGAAGCAGTTATTCAGAGACATTAAGTTTTATTAAGTTGAGTGCAACTTGCTGCTCACAGTAATTTTGGTATCAAGGGGACGTTATGAGCGGAAGTTGACGTTTGAAAGAAAGCCGCACGGTCTGTGTTATGAAATGATAATTCTGAAGGTTTGTTTTGCAGAAAAAGGCAGATTAAGGTCTGTATTCGCCAGGAAAGTTTCACCTAACGTTTCAAATCACTTTAATCAAGGACTCGCGAATGTTTTGCTTGAGTTTCAGCTCAGTTGCATCTATTTCTCATAAATGTTTCATCAAGTCGCAACTGACTTTCATCTATGTGTTGGAACCGTGTTGTAACAGTGGAGTTCTGGATTAAACAATTGAGACTTCGAGTTGATATTCCATGAATACGAAGAGGCTTAGCCAAACACCCACATTGCAAAATACAGATAGCTAGCCAGGCCTTCAACAGAAGCAAGATATTCGACGACGACTTGGTGGCGTTGCACATGGCCAAGAGTCACATCAAATTCGACCCGTCTATGTCGGCATGATCATTCTCGACTTGTTCAAACACTTTATGTACGACTTTAACTACAACAAACTCAAGAAGCATTTCCGCGATAGATGTACACTGACACCGATTCGTTGTTGATGGACATTTTGTATTGATGACGTGTACGCAGACATGGCAGAAGAAATAAACATGTACAATATGAGCACAGCAGGGTGAACAAAAAAGGTGCTCAGGAAAATGAAAGACGAGTGTGCTGGGACTCTCATTGGCGAGTACGTCGGATTGAGACCTAATATGTATTCCATCAAGACAGCTGATATCCGGGAAATCAGAAAGGCCAAGGGTGTGAAGAAATACAGTGTGAAAAAACAAATCAAACACGAACAATTCATAAGATAAGATTTACCATAACCCACGGTGATACTGGAAAGGCGGATGTGCCATCCGCAAGCTTGCCAAATCCGCAAAAGTCTCCGAAGGGACCGCTAAGGCTTAGCTGAAGAAACAGGCACTGTGGCAAATCTACCTGCCGGCACCCAATCGAGTGCATCAAGCCAACCTCTTGTTTCCCCTTCACGACAGGGTGAGACGCAAAACGGACAAGTATGCCCTGACCGTTGGATGTCACCAGTAGATACAAAGAGGCCAAGCCTTTATAACAGCAAAAGATCCGACTCAAGTCGCCAAGGCACTGGAGTGTATCTACAAATGCAGCTCATTGACGTGGTCTGCCGAATTACAAGTCGACCCAGTACGCGAGTTCATGAGATCTGTGTCACAAGTGCTAGCAAAACATGAGGTCGAGGTCAGGCGTTGCACAGTGGGAGCCCATAATAGTCAAGCCATTGTAGAGAGGTTTAACGGAACGTTCGTCAAATGCACATTCGGATACCGGTACAGAAGAGAGACGGTAATGCCCAGTAAATGATCAACGGATGGGTCGTGCATTTGCCTGTCAGCGATCACTGATGCAGTGACTAGAATAATCGATAAAAAAACATCCGATGCCATTAAAATGAAATCAGTGACTGCAGAATCGTCTGCACAGCGCGCAATTGTAAAGAGCAGAAAGTGTCGGACCAGCTCAGCGTGAGGTATTTATACCAGCCCGGTGAACACGGGGGTGATACTCGGCAACGTGCCACTGACCACGTGTGGTCTATAAAAACTTACACTATATATCCGATAGAGCGGATATCAAGGAAGGCCAACCCCATTTGTATTACCTAAAGGACAAACCAGGCAGCAAGAGGAATTACTCATCGTACCCAATGATACGGAACCTCCTTCACTGTTAAAAAAATTACAACGGTATTATCATTCATCGATCTGGTGTGGTCTGTCTAAAAGTCCCGCAGCCGGCCGTGTATTACCTCAAAGACGAACCGGGCAGGGGAATTGCTCATCGTGCCTGAGACACAGTGATGCCTGTATTTAGAAGAGAGCCGTACACGCAGCTAACGAGCTCAGCGACTGCTGGCTGACCAGAAGCCGAGGTGTTTGCCTGAGCCATACACACAGCTAACGAGCTCGACACGGAACGACTGCCTAATGCCAGCCTCGTTAACAAGCATGGCCGCCTTTCACTCAAACGACACTTGGATTAATCAAAACGTTATATTTCCTAAACTATTTAATCGATCTTCACCAAATTTTGCATGTACCTCCGTTATACCTCATACCCCCCTCGCTTTCAATTACTTTTACAATGGCATGCATACTCTTTTAGTTATGACCTCGGAAAGTCGAAAATACAATAACTTTGAGACACATCAAACCTCCCTCACTTTTAAAACAATTATAATGAGATCATTATTCACCTACTCAGTGTGGTCCGTCATAAAGTACCACATTTCAATGTATAAAATTCGAAAAAATACATTCAAAATGAGGGACATCGAACGTTGGTCTTTGCCATTTTCCCTAGTTTTCGGCCATCGGTGGGGCATTATTTGGCGTAAATAATGCCATAGGACCAAGGGATGTAGTAACCCCATCACGTATACTACTAACTGATAGCGAGCCCAGCCTTTAACAGAAGTAAAATATTTGATAACTACTTAGTGGCATTGCACATGAAAATGCGTAATATAAAATTCAACAGACCAGTATACATCTGTATGAGTATTCTCGACTTATCCAAGCAATTGATGTATGACTTTTACTACAACAAACTCAAGAAGCAATATGGTGATAGATGTAATTTTTTGAATACTAACACCAATTCATTGTTGATGAAAATTGAAACCGAGGATGTATCCGAGGACATTACGGAAAAAATAAACATGTACGATACCATTCTCTTCCCACAGAGGTTACTTGTCATATCTTCCAACGAACCTCTGTTCTAATACGGCCATATTTCCCGGTTCTCGTAAAATCCCCTAGTGGCAAAAAATCGCAACACAAATTATCTCCCTTCTTTCTATCCAATCAGAGCACGTGTTACATCGACTTAGATCCAACTTGATTAACACAAGCAAATGTGCGGCCACAAGTATCCCTCCTCTGCCGGCGACTTGTGTTGATGTGACACACAAAACATTTAATGGCTAGCTTGTCTGTTGTCAACGAGGGCGATGGCGACGACATTGATCCACCATAACATGATTGAGTTCTGTCTAGAAAAAATGTTTGAAGAGGAAGAGGTTCTAGTTTTCCCGAAGCATACTGAAATTACCGAGGCCTTGTGAATGATCACTTTTGAAACAACGTCGCTGATTGCACAACTAAATCTGATTGCAACCAATCACGAATCCTGAACACTCGCACCATGACAGGGTAGTATTATAACAGAGGTTCGTAGGAAGAGGTGACAAGTAACCTCTGTGAGAAGAGAATGGCACCATACAAGAGATGACCAAAAAGATTACGCACTATACAGTGTAGTAAATATGAAAATACTTGGCAAGATGAAAGACGAATGTGCAGGACTCCTATTACAGAGTATATCGGATTAAGACCTAAAATGTATTCCATAAAGAAAGCTGACAGTGGCAAGGTAAGAAAGGCTAGAGGTGTAAAGACATATGTTGTGAAAAAACAACTAAAACACAAACACAGACAGACTGGGGTCAAACTATTCAAGGAGGCCCTATTTAATGGTCGAACATTCAAACACAAAATGAATACTTTGAAAAGTGACAAGCATAGGATATATGGTATAAGGTTTGATGGATTGCTGATGATGGTATAACTACTTATGTGTATGTGTACAGTGTGTTAAAGGGAAATATTATTTAATAAATAATGGATAAAATGTATTCCAGCCCACAGGGATATTGGAAAGGGAAAGGAGCAATACAAAAACTAGCTGCAGCGGCTAAGGTATCCGAAGATGTTGCTGAGGATTGGTTAAAGAAACAAGCAATAGGGCAAATATATTTGCCGGCCCCATGCACAATATATTCAGAGGAGACAGTTCGATATTTCAATGACTAATCAGACTGACCACTTGTTTCTTCCACACAATAAGGTAAGACGTAAAACATATAAATATGCCCTTACCGTAGTTGACGTGGCTAGTCGGTTCAAAGAAGCCGAACCATAAACCACAAAAGGTTCAACTGAAGTAGCTAATGCGGAGATGGTACGGCCTGATAAACGATCGACGGAATGGGTGACACGTTTACCCTGAGTTGTGTCAGCGATAAATAACGAAGTGACTAGATTAATCAGTAAGAAATCATCCGATGCCATTAAAAGGAAATCTGTGACTTCTGAATCATCTGCACCATGCAGGGGTAAAGAGCAGAAACTTTTGTGTGGGGTTAGCGTGAGATATACTAAAAGCCACTAAAAATGCAATTTGACATTCATACTTTCTTTACTCACACTACTTTCAACATATATAAACCTAACTGGCAGATATGTTTTAAGCGAACATCTGTGAATAATTTCATCTGAAAATGTCCAGTCAACAACAACATCAAAGCACAACAACGACATCAAACAAAGGAGGGGTCAGCTGAGTCAATATCGTGTGTGTCCACCGTGCGCTGCAAGACATGCTCGCAGTCTTTGGGGCATTGAAAGACACACATGTCTCAGGAACAGCTGTTGGATGGTCTGCAACCTCTGATGGTCTGTGGTCTGATCATGACACCACCCCCTCCAAAACGTGTTCAAGGGCACAGTTTGGCGCAAGTCTTTCTCCTTTACGTTGATAAATCTGTTGACGTCCATCTGCAAAGGATAAGTTAAACCTGGATTCATCTAAAAAATGACATCTGGCCATGTCCTGTTGCCAAGATTTCCCCATTTGCTGCCCATCGTTGTCTGGCAAGTCTGTGGCGATGCAATAAGGTTGGACCACGGTACGAGTGACGAAACCGGATGTTGAAGGCAGCAAGGCGTCCTTGCACCTTTTGGGCGCTGAAATGACGTTGACGTGTCCCAATTGTCCTCAGCTGTTTCGAACCGATTTCGCAAGTGTGAAACTCGGATATTGCGGTTTTGTCGAGCGGTTATCACAGGTGGTGCACCAGGTCGCGGACGATCAGCAACACTTCCGGTAGCCCGAAAACGTTGTCTGAGTCGACTTACAGTGGATGGATGCACATTAAAGTGCCTGGCAATCATCACATCTGAAGCACCTTGGCTGACCATACCGATAACCTGATTCTTTTCATCTTGTGTCAAGTGTGGCATTTTCTCAAAGTGATTGAGTTCCACAATTCCTTGTGCTTTTACAGGGCCTGGGTGCAGGTAATGCATGTGCACAACGTGTTTCATGAATGTGGCTGTGTTTACGAGAAATGTCAAAGGTTCAGTTTTAAGTATCAAAGTTCATGTGAGAGGAATGCTCCGGGACTCGAACTCTAAATGGGTCAGAATAACAGCCTTTTATCCCTACATCCTCTGTATCGCAGGAAAAAAATCTTCAATAGAACTTTTGTAAGTTTCAGGACAACAAATACCAATTGCGTTTTTAATGGCTTTCAGTATATTTATACCAGCCCGAGGGACGTCAGTGCCGCCCAACTAACCCAGTTTGGGATATGAAATAAAAAGGCGAACATTTTTTGTACCTTAAGGACGGACCAGGCAAGGGCTTTGAGCCAGAAGAATGACTTATAGTACCCAGTGATACGGTATTACCACCCTAGGCACTAGTAGTTTACACAATGAGAGAATGGCTCCTCAACCCCGCAAAACCGGTCAAATTTAGCGGGACATTATTTGGTGTTCCCCTGCATTTGGCCTGTGGGGCAGTGGGAGTCGAATTGAGGTGAACAGACTTGACAAGGGTGAGTGATCCCGTTCTCTCATTGTGTATACTACTTGAATATATTACCATTTGTGTGCAAGCAAGACAGTTATTTCCTCCTTGAATTAAGTGCATGTGACTAACACCTGGCCCGAGACTTGAACATTCTGAATGTTTGAAGTGAATGTTAAACAAAGGTCAGATTAAGAAATATTAAGACATGAACATTTTAATTTGTTTTCGTATGTAAATTGTGAAAAAGCATTCACATAAATAATTGTCCATTTATTATTAAAAGGAACAGCCAACTTCTATTTGGTTTTCAATGTGATGTCATAAATAACATAAGACTTACTGTATTTTTGATAATTATTTTACTTTTGTTTTTGCCTCATTCCAGAAATTAGTAACATTGATCAGGCACAGCTTACCGACTGAAGATGGTTATTCTTCATATCTGTACCGATATCTGATATGTACGTGCGTGCGTGTGTATGCATGCATGATGAGAGATGCACCTGACGCAAATACACTCAGCAACATACAGCACGGTTCAAAATAGGTTATCTGGGAATTGCCAACCTCGAGTTCTATAAAGAAATATTCCAAGAATATTTCGCAACACGGTTATCTTATTTGATTACGTGTAATCAGCCACGTTACGTGTATTTTATGAAGAGCCAATCTACACAGATACTAATGTGGGAGTGTCTCAAGTCCAGTATATAATTCAGCACTGTACTTATGAAGAAGAACGTGTATCTTTGTCGAGAGACGGTTAGAGTCATGGGGTTTTTGTTCCTGTTCGTGATTTTCTCTTTGGTTTCAGGTAAGTATTTCTACGTGATCCCGTCACTTGCACTAAACGCCAAAAGAAACGTTACCTCCTTCTTTTACGAATTACTTAAAAACTATCAAAGATATGTTAGAGGGTATTAGTTTACAAGAAAGCTTAACAACCCAGCATTATGCAAATAACGAAAAACAAATTCTCAAATGCATTCATATTTAGGTAAAATGCATCTTTTTCAGAAAACTTAAATTGTCCTATTTTCGACTGTGCCGACATAAACCAATAACAGTGATTTAGATGTCCAAAAGAAAGGTTAAAATAAAATTCTGCTTTGAGACAAAGATAAACCATTTAAAGTCACCATTATTCAACTATTAAAACAAGAAATAACTGTTATATAGTGTGTAAAATTGACAAAGAATCATTCCTATGATTACAGTCTTTTAAAACATTTTCTGCTGATTTGCATCAGTGGAAAAAAGTCAAACATGTCATTGATATTTTGAAAAATGGTTTAGGAACATCTAAAATTATCTTTGTTAACATGTTTGCTTGCAAAGCAACAGTTTCCCATTTTCTGTTTACACATAGCAATATCAATCGCCAAAACATAGCAATATTAAAACAGTATTTGCATCCATTTCACGTGTAGAATGATTCTATAGGGTAAAGAGAGACTAGAGTGCATGATATGATACACAAGTACGAGAAATATGCCACGATTAACAGCTGAAGAGAGAGAAAGAGCCGAGGTGCAGATGGGGTCGACATACATTGCTGCTGCCAACGCCCTCGGATGCCACCGCATCACGATTATAAGACAGATTCAGCGCTACAGACAGACTGGGGTCACCGTAGACAGACCAAGAAGTGGACGTCCACGCATCTCAACGCCAGCTGAAGATAGGTACCTCCGTCATTACGGAAGGAGGGTAACGTGTCTGTTGGCGTTTAGTGTATATATCCGCCTCTTGAAAAGTAACTTGAACAACGTACGGCTTGTTCATTACAAATACTCATCTGACTTGGGTTCATCATTTATCCCGAATTTTGTTAATATTCGCAACCAACTGGGCACTGGGGGGTACTTGAATTTGTTGGCTGGTTGGAATTTTGTAAACTTTATTTCCCGGTTGGCGTTACTGGAAACTTGAACCAAACTAAACATTATGTCTGAATGGTCTCATCCCCAAATAGTCACAAAATTGCTGATGAGCCATTAAACAATAACCACTCTCTCACACACTCACTCACTTGGTGGTGTCTCCATGACATCCGGTGGAGTTGCAAACTGTGATTCCAATTTGCAAATCGAGCGAACTAATATAGCTATTTCATTCTTTGTAAGCCTACTTTTTAATTTAAGCCTATTTTTTCGTTATAAACGAAAACAAATTATGCTTAACTGTGCTAAAAAATAATAATGAATAACCAGTTGAACTTTAGCTTCATCATTATACATACCAGTACCTACGTGTTTAGTGATCTCATTGAATTCCAGATAATGATGGGACGTTCGATGTGACCGCTCTTTCCAAGCAAGTCAACTGCGCTGATCAACAGTCTATGCTCGTATCTTCACAGAAGTGTATTGATGCGTACAATATCCCCTTCAAAATGACTTCCTATTTGTATAATGTGATAACCCCGGCATTTTTAGCTGATATGTGTAGGTTAGTATGGATTATACCTGCAATAGTACTTTTAATTTCTTTTAGATAATGAAGATAAAGGATAAAACAATTGGAATACTACTAATTGTAACGATGACTGGAGTGCAGTGAATGCTTCGCAATCGATGTTATTCCACTTATATCTTTTTCAATCTGGTGCATACCAACGCATCCAAAAATGCATAGATAGATTCTTACGTTTTACAATTTTCGAATCGAGGACTTTGTTTTGGGTGATTCGCAAATGTCAACTTCTAGTTAGTTCAGTCTTTTGTACATCACTGTTGGGGGAAGGTCGTTCTGACCCTAAATGGGATATCCTCAGATCATTGTTTAGCAGTAGCGAGAAGTGAGATGTGATATGGAGATTGAAATACTGCTTAGTGTTAAAAGTAGTATTGGACAGTTATCCTCCTCGAACACCATGGTTGTGTTGTGTTTCTGGAATTCCGCATCATTATATAGATAACGTTGTAGCAAAACAGTACATACATGATCCATGTACATAGTGTTCATATTGTCCATGGTACAGCATTGTCATTTAACAAAATGTGTTCCAGGAATCTTGACACTTACCAGAAAGCGCAAGTATGTATAAAAAACCTATACTCTAAATGTAACCAGACCCCGTCGCTACCTGTAGCGACTATCAAGAAGATACAAGGATATGTCTGCGCCAACTTGGACAGTGAGTACAGACTATATACTTATGAATCACTTTGATGTGTTTAAGTCAAATGCTTTTTCCACAAGTTGAATCGGACCCCACCCATCATAAATAATAGATTTCATTTCCAATTAGAGCAGAAGGTTAATTTTATACACGAGGTGAACATCACAGATGTCACAAAGCATCGACAGTTCAAGGAAGTAAGACAATTAAGTAAACAAGCCCCATAAACCACCTACCTGATCGAATAAATCAAAGATACTTTATTGCAAACTCCTCAGTGACGTACTTATGAAAACTGTTGATGTAAGATTTCCTACTTCATATGTGGTACGTTTTTCGTAATTTGAACATTCAAAATTAGAAAACAAATAGATGCCGATGTTATATATTCTAAATATACTGACATATCTCGGAAACTTTACTTAAAATATACTTTCAAAGCCATTTCAGTAATCTTATGCATGTGTACATAATGTTTCCTCAGTAAACTTTAGGTGCCATGCTCTTTGACAAAGTGTCCTGAACCTTTGATGATAAAGATATATTTACACCAGCATCTGTGATAACAACGTCTAATCACGAATGCCCCACTGTTATATAAATCAAGTTTTTCGTGTGGGATAGTGGTGTCTGGCGTTAATGCGAGGGGTGTTCCATAAGTAGTGAGCCTCACCATGGAATAGTTGTTGGAGTGCAACCAAATTGCACGTGCTGCACATGGGGAATGTGCATGTGGAAATGCATGAACATCATGAACTGTATGCATATGGTTTTCTAGGTATCAGTTGTTGATAAATACCACCCTCCTGTTAACAGTCAAAATGGACACAACTGAATGAAGGGCGGTTATAAAGTATCTCCATTTAAAAAAGTACACAACGCAGCAAATTGATGATGATATGACCCAGACATTAGGTACATCTGGTCCTTCCTATAGTGCAGTTAAACGGTGGTGTGCAGAATTTGGTAGAGGCAGAGAGAGCACGCAGGATGTGTATCGTTCTTGACGACCTTGTAAGGTAACCACCGAGGAAAACATCAATTCTGTCCGTGATTCAATAATGGAAGACTGACGAATGACTATCAGACAACTAGCTACTATCCACCACATTAGTAAAACAACAATTGAAAGGGTCATCCATGAACATTTACACATGAATAAGGTGTCGGTCCGATGGGTGCCCAGAATGCTTTCTGAGGAACAGAAGCAATGACGACTTGAGGTCAGTCAGCAACTGCTAGAGAAAATATCGCTCCAATCCAGACAATGTTTGGCCATAGATTGTTACACAAGATGAAACCTGGATTCATCATTTTGATCCTGAGACGAAATGTCAAAGTATGCAATGGAAACATGCAACATCGCCGCCTCCTAAGAAGTTCAAGATGGTGCCATCCAGTGGAAATTTTATGGCGTCAGTATTTTGGGACAAAGGGCGGATAATCATGATTGGTTACCTGCAGAAAGGCTCTACCATCACTGGTAATTATTACGCTGGTGAATTGCCTGAATTAAGGGAGAGGATCAAGAAAAAACGGCGAGGAAAACTTTGGAGAGGAGTCTGGCTTCTCCAAGACAATGCACCTGCTCACACCTCTCGGGTAGCAATGGCTGCAGCTCAAGAGTGTGGGTTCAAAACCCTTCCACAAAATAATCTTGCAATGGTATTGTCATCACATATATACATAATGCTTTGCTACGTCAAAAGCAGTGACATTCTCTAAAAAATCTTAAGCCACAAAGGGTACATTCAGTCCCTAAAAGTATGTCTGCAAAAGATCTCAGCAGTTTGTTGTGGGTGTATAGTCTGAAGAGTTAGTTTTGAGATCAGAATCAGTTATCAATATAGGATAGGTTTCGCTATTTGTCGCTATGTCCGAAAGAAAAATCCGTACGTAACTGTCTGAAAATATTAATATTCATCTATTAAACGCGACAACTCGACCTTTGTAAACTGGATAAAATGTTTGAAGAGAATGCACGGTTCCATTTGGCGTTGTGTTATCAAATCACTCCCTGCTACAGCTAAATCAATATATTTTTGATGGACACCAGCAGTACTTCTAGAGGTTTCAAGATATGACTTCACTATTAAATACATGTCTATTTGGTGTCTGCCTTAGATGCTCAGATAAATGGTACTTTGGTCATTTTTACTCTGGTCACCGAAAGAATACATTTCTGGTACTGTGATTGTAAGCCTTGGTTTGTGTATTCACTTGCACCGATGTTCTGTATTTAACTAAACATTACCCACATTACGCGTTTGTTCATGAAGAATTCAACACAACCTGCATGTTCGAAATGGTGTTTAAAATGGGTGACTGCAGCTCTACCGCCAAATACTTGACTACCAGCGATCATGTTAACCACACCGTTTCAGCGTTTAACCACAAGGCAACTTGCATGTAAGTATTCCTGTTATAAAATCTCTTCCTTTGCATTATACAACTTGTGTGCGTGCATGCACGTCTCATGACAACCGAAGTCTTTATGGAAATTCAGAAAAGGAATCGGTGCTGAAAAGCATTTCTCTAATTCACATTGCCATAGACCTTATTAAATGGTTGTTGGGTCGTTTTCATCATTTTCCCTAACAAACTTATATGTTATTTAGGATGTTATACTGAAATCTAAGAACAGGTTCTTAAGATATTACCAAAATAGTCCTGGCATAAGGAATATAACCTTCTTTTGGACACCATCAACATGTAACATAAGTTATAAAATATGAGCATCAAATCGTAATCTTAATGTGCATAAAGGTTGATTCCATCTACACGATATATGTCCCTATTAATGTCAGGTCAGAAAAGGTGTCATCGATCTGTGTCGACAAGTACTTGTCAGCATGTGGCGAGGTCGTACTCCACACCTACAAAGCATTCCTGCCAAACAACACAGAATGTACGTCCGTTTCTATTGACTTGTCGCATCACGACTGACAAACATATTGGTACACATCTGATTTATAGCAGCCATACAAAGGGCATGTAGTGGTGTTTCAAGGGCATTTCCCTACTTTACTTTACCTGTGTTTTATATTGTAAAAATGGTATCCAGGTGAATGCAGTAACAGGTACACAATGTCACGATCTTCAGCCACAACCTGACACCATCTACATCCACGTTCATACTCATAAGGTGTGCTACTGCTAGAACATTATACATGCACACATTTCTCAAAACCTAAAATCAATATCTCTTAAGTTATGTTTGGTTTGAAACATGCTACGTATGTTTTGCATTAGCTTTATTCCGTTATCGTGTTACACCAAAAATATTCTAAAATGCCCGTTAAGATCATCAGCAACCAATACCTGTCACAAGAACCGGCAATAAATGTAAATAGATCTATAGGTATGTACCACTGTATTCCAGTCTTTATGTTCCTACGACTTTCACATTCATGTGTTGACTCTCATTAGGCCTAACACCCAACAGCCTAGACACACCCGCCGTGGACTGTTCCACCACTGAAGACATCCGAAAGAGCTACCATCAATGCTTTATCTACAACGGGATACTGCTCCAATTCCCGGAAAACTTAACCAGTGAAGACACTAACCAGCACATTATGCACGCTATTACAATGGATGACAATTTGTGCAGGTATATACATTGTACAGTTTTAGTAATGCCTTACAGTCTCCTCGTGATCCTGTAGTGACAAGTGACTGTGGTCCATATAAACAGACAAGGTCCAGTATTTAAAGAACTGGAAATTGCAAATGTGCAATCTAAATAATGGACGTCATAAGAAGTCTCGATGTTTTGTGACAACACATGGTATTGCAAGGTTTACCTCTGACGTCTGTAGACAGTTTCATAATTATCCGTTACACCTTCACGATATTGCTTCAGTCACCACAGTCACTGTACCATGATGTGGGGCTTTGTTAGCCAGCTGGTAATTGAAGCGAATTTCCAAATTAGCTGTTAATCTAGGTGTGAATTTTCCACAGAGAGACAAACATATATCTGCATTATTTATCAACCAGTCAACTGTTTGTGATTACAAAACTTCATACTTCTTTCAACAAATGTACACACGTTTTATGCTTTTGATAACCTTGTGAGTACTGATATTTATGTCCGCATGCTTTCGTTTTCAATATATAGTATTTCTCTATGTGTAGAACATATGCAAGCATTTTAACAATTCCAGAGGTTGTGTCACGAATTAAGCATGTGAGCAGCCTTCTAATGACACAACCAGCTATGAATATAATCCAATGATTTTCGATTAGTGCTCATGAAATGAAACGTTAACTATAATGAAAATTATTTGAAAAGAGCTCGTCTCAGAATGAGGGAGAGCATGACTTTATTGTAAGTGCTCTTTACATAGAATATATATTTATCACAATATAAACTCGTTATAGCACAGATAACGTGATATGTCGTACAGTAATCTGAAGGACTACCAGCAGGCAGTCAACTGTACTCTGCAGGTACAGAAGCAATGCAGTGATGACGTGATGAAACCCACGGTGGCTGACTCTCAGACAGTGCAAGACAGCTTGGCCAAACTCTGTGGTCATATCGGGGGTGAGTAGTTCAGCATGAGTTCGTTGTCCATACGTGT